AATATCCACTTAGGCCAATATGTTTTTTTTATAAGTATTAATGCGAAACACAGTATGTTTACGGAACTTTTGTGTATTTACCATATGTATAATTATCCAATTCATTAACTACAAGGTGATTTGATAAATATATTGATAGTTAATTTATCGAATGTGTCAAAAAAACAATTTTTTAAGCACCCTAGTTCTGGAATAGTAGACATATTTTTTTCGATGGCGTTCAATTATTCCTTAGAAGATATTTTTCAAAATTATAGCTTGTTTCTAAATGGTTTTTGAGGTACAGGGTGTTAAACTTAAAAAAATTCCCTTTTTTATTACAATTATAATTTTGTGTATCTATTTTAACATTTTATCATTTGACACTCCACGCATACACACAGGATTCCAAAAATATTTGTCTCTACAGGGTGAATCGTAAATAAGTAAAAACAAGTTTTTTGATAATTACTTTCATTGTTTTAATAGTTGAAAATATGTACAAAAAATTAATTATTGCTATATTTATTATTGTTAATGATAATACAAAAGATTTTAGGTGCCATTTATACAGAGTGATTCGATTTTTTTAATGAATGTGAAACTCCATATTTTTAGTTGAGTTTTATGTATTTTTTATAATATCAACATATTATGTAGAATTATCCAATTTATTGATTACATGGTGATATAATGGATAGATTAATAGTGTGTCAACAAAATTTGATAAGTCGCCCTGTACTTTTAGTCCTATAAAGGTGTTTCTTTACTGGTGTATTAACCATTTTGTAGAAAATAAATTCCCAAAAATAACAGATTTTTAATATGATAGGTTTACGAGATACAGAACTTGACTTAAGAAATACCCACTTTTTATTACCTGTTATTCCAGAAAAAAGCTAATCAATTGCATTTTTTTGTAACTAATTTAATTATAACATTTTTTGGCATTCGACGAATTTACAAAAGGGTTAAAAAATATATTCATCTATAAAATGAGTAGCAAATAAGAAAAGATATTTGTTTTTGGTAATTTCTTTTATTTATGTAACATATTATAGAGGTTGACTAGTAAAGATCAACGTAGACCAATATGTTTTAATATGATATGCAATTCTTCTAAATGACTGGTATGTGTATCTACAATAGTTATATTACTGTACAACTAAGTATTGAATTATTAACATATTTATAACTATCACTTTTATTACATAGTAATTTATTAAATATATTAATAGTTGTTCTATCGAATGACATATTTTGGATATAAAAGAAAATGAATTATTACTAGAATTATTGCTTAAATGAGAAAAAACACATTACGTACATGCGATATACACAGGATGAAAATGCATCAGCGATAAGGGAATTAGATTAGATATATTTTATACTTAGTTAATATAGCTACCTATGTTACAAGTTTTAAGTGCAGTTTTAACTATCAATATATTTATTAAATCACCCTGTAGTCAATAAATTGGATAATTGGGCATATGGTAAATAAAAAAAAGTCACGTAAAAATACTGCGTTTCACGTTAATACTTATAAAAAAATATATTGGCCTATATCAATATTTACGAATTACTCTGTATAAATAGCACCTAATATTTTTGTATTAATTATTATTAGACATGATAAATATATCAATAACTTATTTTTTAGTAAATATTTTCATCTTTTAGAACAATAAAAGTATTTATCAAAAACATGTCTTTACTTATTTGTGGCCCACCCTGTAAAGGAAAATAATTTTTGACCCCTTTTTATATTAGTAGAATGCCAAAAGCTGTAACAATAAGATTTTGCACAAAAAATTATAATCGATTAGCTTCCTTCTGAAATAACCGTTATCAAATAAGTGGTATTTCTTAAGTTCAACACCCTGTATCTCAAAAACCAGTCATAGGATTTAAATGGTCCCATGAACACTATTGCTTAGGAGGTCGAGAACAGCAACATATCAAAAATTTACGACATTTAACAGATCGCCACTTTTCCATAAGAGGAACCAGGATTTGCATAATAATAAGGGGATATTTATGTTTTTATTATTTTCAAGTGAAAACTGATTTCCCGTACATTTAAGATCCGTTAGGTTCATATTTATAAAGAGAGTTTTAGTCAACAAAAATATAATTTTATTGCAGGGGGAATTAACAATACCGCCAGCGCCAAAAGTGAAAATATTATCACATATTTTAATCAGGCCACCATATCAAAATGGAGAAGCTAATTTGATATATAATTCTGAAGCAATCGATAATTCACATCAAATAATGACACCATGAAAACGTAAACTGTTAAACAAACTAAGCAGTAAGTTAAAAAGAAAAATAATTGGTATTAACTCGAAAAAACTTGTTCGACGTGACAAGCGTGTTGCGAACTTGAAAAACATTATCGCTGAGCTTTAGAAAAATAAATTTATGCAGGATGAATATTTGGAAGTAATTTCCAAACTAGGAGGACCCGAAGAACTGTTTTTAAGACAATACAAAAAAGGTACAAAACAAGCATAACCAAGGCAATACTCAAAAAAATTGAAGGTATTTGCACTAACCCTTCATTATTATTCACCTGTAGTGTATAACTACGTAGGAAATGTTTTTAATACATATTTACCTCATACAAAGACATTGTGTAGATGGTCTCAGAGCATCCATGGGGAACCTGGCTTCACTACTGAATCATTTGATGTTCTACGGCTTACAATTTCTACAGAAAAAAAAGTTATTTAGAGCATGATTATTGGTGAGATGGGTTCCAAAAAATAATAAATGTTACGGATATGTTAACGTGGGAACTGGATCCAAAGAAATAACACTAAAGATTCCTTGGTATTCCTATTAAATTGTATCAATGGAAACTGGAAAATTCCTGCTGGCTATTTTTTGATCGCTGGTATCACAGGAAAGCAAAAACAAGGATTAGTGTTACAGTGTTTACAGAAATGCCATGAAGTAGGTGTGCAAGTAGTCAGTTTAACATTTGATGGTCCACCTGTAAATTTAACAACGGCAACTCGTCTGGTATGTAATTTAGACCATACAAATTTGAAAACAAGTTTCAAGTATCCGTCAACAAGTTTAAAAATATGTGTAACATAATAGTCAACAAATGAGGAAGTGGTTATCTTTTAAGACCCTCCTCATATGGTGAAACTGATCCGCAATACACTATGGGAAAAAGAGTTACTTATTGATGACAATAATGAAATAGTTTTCAGGAAATATTTGAAAGAACTTCATAAATTACAAGAAAACGAGTCGTTTTATTAGGCAAACAGATTAAGATTAAGCATATTGGTTTTGGCAGACAAAAAATGAAAGTTAGGCTTGGAACTCAAGTTTTTAGTGATAGTGTTGCAACCGCATTAGAGTTTTGTAAGGACGAATTTAAAAAGAGATAATTTGAGCTAGTGCAATAATTAGATTTATAAGAATGATGAACAACTATCTCTTTGATATATTAAATTCCAGAAATTTATTCCAGCTTCATTATAAAAAGCCTTTGTTTTTAAAAAAATATGAATTTATAGATTTTTTTTTAAATGAGATAGATAAGTATATTAGTGCCTTAAAAACACATGTAGGTAAGACTTTACTTTTAAACACCGACCGACATACTGGATTCTTATATGTATATCCAGTTTAAAACTTTTATTTAAAAGATTAATTTCTTTCAACACACTACAGTTTTTACCAATATATAAAATATCTCAAGACTACATAGAATTGTTCTTTGGCTGCATTCGATCACATAGAGGCCACAACAATAACCATACTGCCCGACAAATTTCAGGCAGTTATGAAAAAATATTAGTACATGTCGAAGTACGTGAAAGTTTTCGTGGAAATTGTATTCCGCTAGAAGAGCTCCGAATTTAAAAATGTCCCGTTTGTCATATCAACGAATCTTCAAGAGACTACACGGCTCTTGTTCATCAGAAAGTTACGACAGTGTGCTAGATAATACTGAGCATGATCATGATTATTTATCAAACCCTACGCTATCGGAATTTACAAAATATATTGTAACGTATATTGTATTCTCTTTAAAAAAAGCTTATTTATGAGGAATGAGTAAATTCTTTATGTCAATACCAGAAAGACCTACACATACTTTCGTTTATAGACAAAGAAAAAATTAAAAGAGCCTACAGTATCCGTCTGTGAATGTTAGACGCTTGTATGCAATGTGAAGAAATATAAAAAAAGAGAACTGTTACTTCAAATTATCATCTTATTTCTGTAGACACTATTGTATTTTCAGTGTTAAAGTCATTTATAAATAAAAATATATTTGCAAATTTGATAGCTCACAGTTTTGATCAGGATTTATTAGGTCTTTTCCAACAACAATCAGAAACCAGTCAGTGACACCAGGACTCTGCGCAGTATATAATTTGTCGGTCGAAATAATCAACTGCGCAGAATTCTGGTGTCAGTGACTGGTTTCTAATCGTTGTTGGAACAGACCTATTGGATAACCATAACATAATTTTTATATAGGATATTGATTTTACCTTAATATATTTTCTATTAATACCATAACACTGTTTGATTATTTTATGTTAAACCGTGACATATCAAATGAAATTTGGGAAATTTTTAATTATTTTTTGTAACATAAAATCTCCTTTTACTTGAACTTTATTCATTTCTTGAAACTTTTATTAAAATTGTTATTAATTATCTGTTTTTTGACAATTAATTTACAACTTCCCAATAGTCAGGCGCTGGCAGAACGGCCATATTGGGTTGACAGTCGCCACGCTTAGTGATACCGTTTTGAATGTTTGAAAAAGATGCTCATTGCGTCTCTCTACCTCTATGTTCTAACTACACCGGAATAATTTCTGAAATCTCGTTTTACCTACCATAAGTAACCGTTTTACTTATCCTTAAAATGTCCTAATTTTATGTTCAACATCCATTCATATAAAGTTGTATCAAACAGATTCGTATTTTTTTGCTATAATTATTCTAATTGTTAACCGAAAAATATCAATATTTTATAGGTATGCCACAATGACATAGTGGTTGTAGACCTCCAAAATAAAATGACTAGTGAAGCAACAACCATACACTGGCATGGACAACATCAAATAGCAACTCCGTACATGGATGGTGTACCATTTATTACGCAATGTCCAATTCTACCTCATAATACTTTCAGGTACATGTTTCAAGCAACTGAAGTTGGAACTCATTTTTATCATTCTCATATAGGTAAGAAATCTTTTAAGCTTCGGTTGTTTTTATCCCTATTATGATTTGCTGAAATCTTCAGGAATATTTTGATCAAATAACTGATAATAATGAAGTATATCACTTATTTACTGGAGATATTAACATTAATTTATTAGTCGAAACTCAAATCCTATGTGAATATTTAAACATTTTAAATGAACAGGGTTAAATTTCTACTATTAATATACCTACAAGAGTTCGAAATAATTGTAAAACTTGTTTGGATCACATTTTTTAAAAAACTAGATATAATAATAATTATGAGAATATACCACTAGTATTACAAAATGACATAACAGTTCATTATATTACTATTTTACAAATAATTATACAAGAAAATAATCTACAGCATGATCACAAGAATTATATAAAACATATAAATCCTAACAAAATACTTGATATGGTAAAAACCGTTTCACGGATGATCCAGAATCTGCAATGAATAAACTTGTAAATATACTATCCAATATTATACAAAAACGTACTGCTTTTAGAAAATTTATTAGAAAAACTAAAACAATTGCACCATGGGTCACAAGTACGCTACTAGTTATGATAAAAAAAAATATTTAAACAATTACAGAAAACACCAAATAATTTGCAATTAAAAAATAAGTATAAGAGTTATCGAAACGCATTAACAAATAAAATTCAATCCACTAATTTTAACTATTTTAAAAAACAAATTGATTTAAATAAAAGCAGTTCTAGCTAACTATGGCGCATTGTCCAAAGTCTGATTGGGAACACAAAACTCCAAACTAAAATTTAAAAAATTAAAAATGAAGATGATGAAATGTTATTAAATGCTAAAGACATCTGCAATTAATTTAATGTACATTTTCCTAAATTGGGAAAGAATTTGGCACAAAAATTGTAAATGATAATTCTGATAAGTTTACTAAAACTACACAAAATAATTCAATGGTGTTCCCAGAAACAAATGAAATTGAAATTTTAAATCTAATTAAAGGCTTAAAAAATAAGAAGTCGTCGGGTTGTGATGATATATGTGCAGAATTTTTAAAAGTTGTGGCATCTTATATAGGAAATCCGTTAACATAATATACTAAATAATTTTATTAAACAAGCTATTTTTCCAACAGCCTTTAAAACCTCTATCGTAGTACCTATCTTTAAGAAAGGTGATACTGCTATATGTAATAATTACAGACCAATTTCTCTATTGACTTATTAATCAAAAATTATTGAGTCGCTAATAATAAATAGACTTAATTCTTTTTTTAAACAAATACGAAATTTTATCACCTATACAGTTTGGTTTCAAAGAAGAAAAATCTACAGATGATGCCTTATTACCTTTGATAACCCAAAAACATCAAAGTCTGGAGCAAAATCAAGCATGTTTATGTCTATTTCTAGATCTTAGTAAGGCGTTTGATACCGTTGATTACCACTTGCTCTTACAATGTCTAGAAGACATAGGAATAAGAGCAAACTGTTTATCTTTATTTAAAAGCTACCTAACCAATAGATACCAGACTGTAAGAGTAAATAGAGAAACTAGTAGTCGACAGATAATTAAGTACGGAGAACTTCAAGGCAGTGTCTTAGGACCCATACTGTTCAATATATACATCAATGGTCGTTTTCCATCGAGAGCAGAGGTAATGTTTTAGGTGTTGCAGATGATACTGCAATTTTTTATAATGCTGAAAATTGGAATGAACTTAAAAATATAGTAGAAAAAAATGTCATTAAAATAAAAAGTTGGTTTGATAACATGTCTCTTACTTTAAATCTAAAAAAAAAACTAAATACTTACCATTTAGCTGCAATACTAGAGGTCTTCCGTCATTTAATCAACTTGATGTACAATTTAATGGACACCCCTATGTGCTTCAGCAGGTATCCGAAATTAAATATCTAGGAATATATGTATAGTCATTTAAAATGGGAATTCCATATCAACTATACTATTAAAAAACTTCAAAGCATTCTGTACAAATTCAAATATTTAAAAAAATATCTCCCAGAAAAGCGCTAATAACACTCTACTATGCTCTAGCCCAACGCCAGTTTAGGTTTGGCATTATAGTTTGGGGAAATGCTTTAAGGTGCCATGTACACTCAAAATATTACAAAAAAGATTTTTTAAAGTAATTTTTTTTTTGGGAAAGACTGTATCCCAGTGACCTCTTGTTTTCAGAAAGTAAAATATTGGACCTTAGACAGTTGTATTTCTATTGTGTAGCTCAAAAATTTTACTTTAACTGTAACAACAATAATGTACCTAACCACGATTAAAATACACGTAATAAAAATTTACATGTTCTTCCACAAGTAAGTAAATCTTTAAGTCACAGATCGTTTGTTTATCTGGCACCCAAAATTTATAATCAATTGCCTGAAAGAATAAAAATAATTAGTGATAAAATAAAATGTAAAAAAGAAGTTAAAAAACTCATGTATGAAATTCCTTGGAAACAAATTAATGAACATATTATAGAATAAAAACTATTAAAAGTACTCACCTTAAATTTGCTATAGTTTTATTGTATTCGATGTATAACCTTATATTTATCCCTTACTTCATTTTTATTTCTATCTGCTATTTATGTTTTATATTTTCTTTTTAATTAAGAACTATGTCTTTTGCAGTTAGGATATCGTAGTTTGTAAGTTCTATTTCTTTTTTTTTTCTTTCTTATTTTTCTCGAAGCAAGTGGGTAACCACTTATCGAGTACTTTTATTCAATAACAAAGTGTATTTCATTATTGTAATTAATTTTGATTTATTTGCATATAGGGATCGAGTAACGTAATATTCCATTTTTTTCCGCGGGTAGTCCTTAACTTTATTCAATGTAGGTTTAAAAACTGAACAATATCTGAAATTAATCATAATATCCCTTAGCAGTTTTGGAAATACAAATTTTAATTTCTTCCAGTTTCCGAGAAAAAGCTTTAAATTTCAAAACATCAAAATGAAAATACATAAACTCCTCAACAGCATCATTCTGAATATAATACCTAAATTTAAGCTATTATTATATTTTCATGGCCAAAGTTAAGGTACCATTTCGGTAGCCGCGTCAGGAGACAGGAGACCACTGAGGAGACCAGTAGGACGACAGATGCATAAATGTTACGCTCCATACATTTCGGAAGTTTGAAGAAGTGTCGCGCGACACTTGCAAATAACCATTTGAGGGAACGATCAGCGTTGCCAGACCTACTGTTTTTACGTAGATCCAGTGTTTTTGTCTCTGGTAAATTTTGTTCTTAATTTATTAAGTTTGCCTCATTCTTCAGCAAATGGTTAAAGAATATTTTCTCTAGTAAATTTTCTGCAGTAAAAGCAGCGTAATAAGCATCCACTACTGACTACGATTTTGAATTATCTGATTCAGACTGATCTAAAAGAAGTAGGTACTTATTATCTTTCATTGGTTTTTTCCCGTACGTTAAGTATATAATAAAAATGTTTTTATTCTTTGTTTACTTTCTAATTTGGGTAGAAAAAAGTTTATTTTTCGTTTCTTATATACTTGTTTTTTTATTTACTACACTGTAAATTATAATTATTTCCCCCTGTATTAAAATCTACTGTTTAGATCTACGTTTTTTTTTACCCATACTGTTCCCTAATCTGGCAACGCTGCCTAGATCGAAAGTAATTTCCAACCTCGAGTGCGATACTCCGAGGATAGTGACCCCGAGACAGATTCAGAAGTTTCGACAGGAAGTGTCGTCGTGCGAAATGTGTTTCATATAATGGGCCATGTTCACATGTGAGATATGCTGTTTTATAAACTATATTGTAATAGTTAGTCGCTATACAAGTTATTCTAAATAATCAGTTCGTTAAAAAAGCTAAAAGTTTTTAAATTAAGCCCAATTGAAATTTAAAATTTGAAATTATACGTCATCGGGAATAGACCAATCAGCTTGTGTCGAAGTTTTTTTTGTTATACAAAACCAAGCCAACGAACAAACCTACATACAGAATGTCGAAGTGAACGCACATCTAAGTGACATTAAAAATTGACAGCACCTAACAACTAACCTTAGTTTTTTGTTTTGGTTTAATTTTATTATTAATCTGAATTTATCTGGGTAAATTATCCTGTGGGATATAGGATATATAAAGGAAGAAGAATATGAATTTATCAGCTGTATTTATAAAAGTTGAATCAAGTATTTTTCCCATTGTAAACGAAAATATGATTACCGAGATGATTACTGCATTTTTTAACAATACTCAGTTTATAAAAGATAGAAAGGTAAAACTTTATTTATAAATTGTTTTAATGGTAGGTAGTTACAGTTTATATGAAGCAATACACTTTATAGTGAAACATATTTATCTCAGGTTTTATTTTTAGATCTGCCAAGCAAGAATATGGAGATATTTACTTTTTCCATAAGAGAGAAGGAGACAAATTACATCTAAACATAAAGTACAGCAAAAACCTTATGATGTGGCTGTTGTATTTAACAAAAATGAAATTTTTAGTGTACAATGCTTAGGATATGTTGAATCTCAAGGTTTGTAATATTTATTATGCTTTTTTGTTTTTATATCACATATAATAAACAGTGTATAAGGCCCTTTATTCCTATAAATATTTTTTTTCTAATTTTGACATAAAGAGACATTTTTTGTAATCGCAGCAAGTGTTAAAATAATCTAGAAATAGATTTTGTTAGTGAACCTAGTAATAATTATGATACCAAAGAATGCTGCAGAGCACCTATGAAATTTTAAGCTAAAACATGCCATATTTTTAGGCTATTTTTATACCCTTTTCAAAAATTTTATGCTCCTCGTTTTATGCAAAACTTAAAATGCTCTGATAGCTTCGAACGAAGTCAGCAAAGCACCTCTGTTTTATAAATTTTTTTCTGTAAAAACAGCAACACCATATATTTATGCACTTGAAATATTATATTTTTAAAAAATACATGGTGCTTGCTAACCTTCGAAAGAAGCCAGCAGAGCAATTCGGTTTTTT